CGGAAGAAGGTCCCCTGCCCCTCATCATGAACGATCAATGTCAGATCAACCAGAGGTATCCCTGGGACATGTACCAGACCTATCCCAGACATCCAAGGATAGTGGATACCAGCTCCAGGCCGCACACTCCCGGAAAAGAAGCCCTGAGGATCACATCAAATCTTCCAGGAAGCGAGCCTGTCAGAGCCCGGATAGACGGCAGGTGGCCTCTGTCGTCTATCTTCCTGTTGCCAGCTGGGAGCGAAAAGTCAAACCACGCCCGTCTTACCGACAATCACGCCGGCAATCACCCAGGCGATCACCCCAGCGTCAGGTGTCTGTATACTATAACACTGCAAGACACAGGCAGCACTCCTCCCCTGTAAGACGAGCCGCTCCCAGAAAGGAACGGCGCTCCTCACCCCAGCGACATGTCTCTCCAAGACGGGAACGAAGACCTTCGCCCCATAGGCATATCCCAAGACGGGAAGTTCCCAGGCAGGAGCGACATGTCTCCCCCAGACGGGATCGACGCCCTATGTCAAGGAGGCAAGCCCCAGAGCCAAGGCACCAGGCTTCTCCCTAAGGACAGGTCAGGTCAATCAACCAAGGGCTGAGCGTCTCTGTCGTTAACAAGGCCGCCCCGAAAATAGCAGCTCGGTTCCAGAGTAGTCATCCTCATGGAATGGGATCGAGCTGTCCAATACGGACGTGCGGTAAAAGAACCAGGACGCTGCGCCACCATGCCTACGGAGCTCACCTCCCACCATGTTTCCGTGACTCCGTACCAGCGTCACAAGAAACGGCAGTTGACATGATATCGGCCATAGAAGACCTTGCCCGGCAGATCTTGGGAGCAGGAGCTACCTGGACGGAATTACACCAGTTCGTCCTAAGGAATAGCCTTGTTCCCAAAGACATACCCCTAAGAGGAAGCTGCTACGGGCATATTAAAGAGTTGTGTAACATCAAAGGATGGCCGTTACCATTGGATTCTGTCAACCTTTCGCCGGATAGCCCTGCCTGTCTAATACATTGGAGGATCTTGGTAGCCCTTCTGGATGTCACCTCGGATGGAGTCTGAAACCATTTCAGGAACTTCGGGAACCTTCTGCCACTGCCAGGACTATCGCCATCTGTGCAAGCCACTCAAACAGCAGAGCTTCCCGGAACGTCCACTCGACCAACTCCATCCTCAGCGCCGCCGAATCCAGAGAGACTTCCCAGGGGTTTTGACACCCATTTCCACTCAGATAGGATGCGCAGCAGACTCCATCTGGACGCTGCCACACCCCTGGAAGAGGTCCTGGACAAGGCCGGCCAGCCAAAAGAGGTAACCATCAACCTTCAGAAGGCGCTACAGATCTTTTGCGATCCACCAACCTGGCCCCAACAACCAACTTTCCATCAGTTTCCAACCAAAGAATGTGCAGGCCATGGACCCCGACCAACTCGACAAGTTAAGGCATCTACTATCATCCCAGGATGTAATCGCCTTTGGGGAAATTGGCCTGGACTTTACTGTGGGAAACTGGGAACGGCAAGGGCAAGTCCTAGGGCAGCTCTTCAAGCTGGCACCATCAACCAAGCCAATCATCCTCCACCTCAGGGGCACTACCGCAGACACTTATCAACAGGCTCCACTACAGGAATGCCTACAAATTGCCAAGGCTGCTGGAGTACCGTCCACCCAGAGATTCCATCTCCATTGTTTCTCTGGGTCATTTAAAGAAGTGGCACTGTGAACCAAGCACTTCCCTGAGACGTGGTTTGGATACACTGGGATGGTGGCCAGCTTTGATGACCAACAACTATCAGCGTTGCGGTTCCTTAATGCCAAGCGCTTCCTTTTGGAGACTGATGCCCCATATCTGTGGCCTCGCCCAGGTCGCCTAGGAGTTAACAGCCCAAGACTACTAGGTGAAGTTGCAGCTATGGTGGCCGCTGCCCGACAGAGTACCACAGCCAACATCCTGGAGCGTGCTTATGTCAACGCAAGGCAGCTCTACAGAGTATAATTATTCACGCCAGATGAATGGGATTTCTGAATCTGACTTGGTCAGGACTGGAACTGAGTCCACCGATCCGGTCTAGATTCTAGGATTCTCATAGAAACATTGTCCTAATCTGACTTGGTCAGGACTGGAACTGAGTCCACCGATCCGGTCTAGATTCTAGGATTCTCATAGCAGCTTTGTCGTCTATTTAAGTTACGTGAACCAACTCGGTTGCCACCAACAATCTGGTTGGGGATTTTCTTATTTAAGGCGTATAACTAATCTTAACCATGAGTTACGCGAACTGTCTCGGTTGATAGCACAAAACTGCTGCCCAACCCTGCAGGGATTTTCTCATGTTTTGGCGAGGTCACCTGTTAGATCCTTCATTTCCTCCTGAGACCACAAGGGGGGGCAAGTCCAGAAAAGAGGGAGGAATGTAGTGATTGGTGCTTCCACACTCGTACATTGGGTTACATCGGATTGGCCACCCGATGTTACTCGTATGTTTCCGGGTGTGATCGAGGCACGTGATCAACTTACCCGCCAAATCTGACAGGTGACAATCGACAGATTGAGACTAGACAGCCGACTGAACAGACAGAACCCACAGAAGCTAACACAATCTCGATCTCCCCTTCATCAAGCTTACGCTGTAAGGTAAGCACCTTTCCCTATCACTAGGCTTTCACAACAGTACCAAAGTTATTTAGTACGATCGGTAGTTATTTTTGTATTATTTTTGGCGCAAACCCATATTTTAATCATATATTTTAAGTTGAATTGCCATATAGCAGATGACATAAGCTACATTTTGTCTGTGATTATCATCCGCATATATCTTTTAAAAAATTCTACAAAGTGTCTATTTTTTATTGAATAATTTCGTAAGATCCGTACATATTATTTTTTACCATTGTTTTCGCCATTTCTTCGTATGTTTTACATATCTATTAATGAACTTTGTTTCAGTTAGGCTTCTATCACATATCGCACTGAAGAAAACTACATATTTTGACGATGATTTGTATTTGTTATCATCTGTAGATTTTATCTTTATAAATCATGACTACATTTAATCTATTTTTTATTTTATGCCGTGTAAATATTGATTATGAACTATATGATCTTGGCCTCTAAACACAATCATAATAATGTAAATTTGATGAAGGTACGACTTACTTACACAACAATCAAAACATCATACAAAAATAAAAATCTGTTATATGCAATATTTGTATCATGAAATTATCATTTGTTTTGTAAATGCCAAGAAACATGAAGGATTATATCAGCAGTCGAGATAGTTCTAGATAACAAGGTCGAAGGTGACACTGCGTAAAATAAGAAGATGATCTATTGTCCTTTTCTATGATAAATACATCTTTATATGTCAGTGTTTGGGATGTTTTGTTTTGATAGTAATAGTTGCATGCCTCGTTCCAGGTTAGAGTTTAAAGTTTGTTTTTGATTGATCAGATATAAATAGAAAACCACGATGAAACAATTTAGAAAACTACAAACGTAACTACAGGTTACGATATATTAGTATATATCTGGTACCATGCTTGTTGAAGCTATACTGTTATCAATGGTTATACGTGAAATACCTAATTATTTGTGTGATGAAATATCAAACTAATCGGGTAATATTAAATAACGATTGTAAAATTATAATCGTCCTCTTTGCTTTGGAATTTAAGAGTAGCCTCCCTTTGAAAAAAACATATCTCGCTCCGGCAAACCCCATTCTCACCACTAGCCCCAAACAGGCATTAACCAATAACATTTGATTACTTGCGAAACGTATTGTTGGACACATCGAAATTTCATTTAACAACGCTCGTAGTTTAATGTGTATTTTAATTCATTGGAACTATTAGCATTATAAAATAGTAGCAAATTTACATGAAACAAAGCTATTAATATGGCGTCATTTCTTTCTGGCTAATAGTAAGGCATTTTCACCATCCGGTGGCCATGCATTTTTGCAAGTAAATCTAGCCTGGATTTATTTATTATATTATATGAAGATAATCTGGAGATATATTTTATGAACAGCAGGAACAAGGTGATCTGTTACAAGTGTCTTCCTTGCGTCTGGATGAGTTATATTCACACTTCCTGAGATCCTGTGCAATTTACCGGATCGTAGTTTTATGTGGCGTTCGTAGTAGATTTGGTATATTTGTTTATTTTTCATAGTAGGACAATTGTAGCATAAAATGAGATATATTAACTGATTTTTAAACAAATAGAATAAGTTATAAAATACTTTTGATTTCGGATCGGCTAAGGGGCGTCCTTTTATTGGATTGTCCAAAGACGTCAAAACATCTTGATTGTCGCAAGTCGTAGTCGGAGAAATCTTGACTAAGGGAATTAACTCTGGCACTGGATATTATGTTATATTGTTTACGTGGTTACCAGAATTGTCAGTCGTGAATGTCTGCGCCAAAAAGTGTTTATAACTTGGACACAGTTAAGATCCCCACCGTATAACCGCATGTACAATTGCTGAGTTTAATGAGAGGAATGCACATATGCTACCTGGACTTGCCCTTCTGTTCATCTGTCCGGCATTCCTGGGCCAACTTGCACAAAACGATCTTAGCGCTAAGACTATCGTAAGCCTATGTTAAAGTATGGGAGTTAAGATCATCTTAGCACTAAGATCGCTTTGTGCAAGTGGGCCCTGAACCTTGACCATAACATGCAAACCGATGATATATGTCTTATATGGGTGATTTTGTCCACCCTATTGGAATAGTGGTCTAATGCATTGTAATTCTATGTGAGGATTTGTGTCCCTCAAGGTCCACTGAATGTTGGTTCAAGTCCTATGTTCTCCCTGATATTGATCCTCGTTTTGACGGCACCATACTTATGTTTGATGGTTTCGCAAGAATGAAATGCTCCTAGATCAAATCTCTCAGGATGGAGTCTTCTTTGGGATTCCTTTGAAAACCAACCGACCAGAACAAAACAAAATATATACTTCTAATGTCGTTTATCATCTTTCAGGTGTTCCATAATGCCGTCAATGAAGGATGTGGCGATACCGACCGTTGTCGGCTTGGGCGCTTTCCTGGCTGCACCCTATGTGCTGTCTGCTATAGGGTTTACTTCAGCAGGCATAGCTGCTGGGTCAGTGGGAACTAAGGCTATGTCTTTCGCCTGGACAACCGGATGGGGAGTAGGTGCTGTGTCATCTCTGCAATCTGCAGGGGCTGCTGGGATAGGTCTGGCAAGCAAGGCGCTGATTGGAGGGACTGCAGCTGTGTGTGCAAACAAAGCAAGAGGCAACTGATGACTTGAAGTCATTGTGGTCATATGTTTGTGAAATAAAGGAGACAAACACATTCCACTAGTTTTTGACTGTTCTGTCCTCTATGGCCATGTAATACTTGTAATGATTTTGAAAATTATGTATCACCTGAATTAAATTTACATTAAGTAGACTTTGGATTTTTTTTAAAACCACCATCATTAGATTGTCTGGTTCAGATTTGATTTATTTTCAGACCACAGTCAAATAGCTAGAATATTGCTTAGTGCAGTATTAAGCAACAAAGCACCAACAAAATAACATGATTTTATTATGTTTATTGTTGCTGCTATTCAGTCACCAGCCATCTTCCCGAGGCAAGGGTGTTAATTGACTACAAAAGTCCAGTTTCCACCCTTGACGAAGTTGGCAGGAATTTCCAGGCTCAATTGTAGCGCCACAAGCGGCTATTACGATTTCCAAGTAGCTCCTACCGACCAATCAGATTCCATCTCTCATATCACATGCATTTGCTCAACAAAATGGCGGCGCCCAGTCAAGAGGATCCGATCGATAATTATGATCACGATCAATAGACTAAACACATGATATGAAAAGCTTGCAGTCGAGGGAAATCTGCAGGATGAAATCCACATTGTTTACACACCGGGTGTCTAGATCGTTTCGTGATTTTTATTGGACTATGCATAGACTCGTTAGTCCAGCCGAACTGTAAATCTCCAGCCTAGTTCGACAAGGGTGGAAACTGGACTTTTACATTCAGTTAACTCCCTTGCCTGGGGAAGATGGTCACTAGCATCACACATGTGAATCTCAGGCTGCATATCTTTAACCACTGATTTCAAACACTTATATGTTCCTGGTAGTACAGGGGCGGTCGGGTAGCCTAGTGGTTAAAGCGTTCGCTCGTCACGCCGAAGACCTGGGTTCGATTCCCGACATGGGTACAATGTGTGAAGCCTGTTTCTGGTGTCCCCCGCCGTGATATTGCTGGAATATTGCTAAAAGCAGCGTAAAACCATACTCATTCACTCACTCACTCCTGGTAGTACATCCTCAGCTGTTGTGGTGTCCATAACCCTTGCTTGAACTATACACCCGAAAAGAAGTTTTGCACCCCCTAATCTCATTGCCGCTAAACAAAGCATCCCATTACGGGTCACGTCAGAACGACCTTTCATCCGACGCAACAAAGCGTCGCTTACCAGATCATGAAAGTGACAGTCGGAATGTGTTTTCTAATCATGCAACCTCGAAAACGTTAACACGGGGTATTTCGAACGACAGTTACGGCCCGTACGACTGATTTCGTCAAAATCATCGTCTGTCTCTCGCGTCCATTGGATAAACATTTGAACGGAAGAGGCGTTGCACTGTACGTGGGAAGCACTTCCATACAATCTCAACCATATACAAGACATTCCAGAATGTTCGATTGTTCAGTTTTCAATTTTAATCGAGAACTGTGTCAACATATTATTCAAGCGTAGTCTGAAATGGAAATCGTTTGGTTGAAACGAGTGCCGTAAAGCTCGAGAAAGCTGCTTTCTAATTGGCTGATGTCGACTTCTTGTTAGTCATTCACTGGTCGGTCAAAGTTCGCGAAAGGTCGTTCTGACATGACCCGTAATGGGATGTCCTCAGATCTTTGTTTAGCGGCAGCGAGAGCTTAGATCTGATTTAAATGAGATTGAGCACCCCACCCCCCGTCAATTTTTAAGACTAATGAAACAAGTGCTGGAGTGAAATTACTTACAAAGTGATCTCGGATGGATAAACGTAGGTGATCTTTAAGAACAACCCTCTGACAATAGGAAACCACCACTATTTTCAGCTGGATATTGTAGACCCGTGAAGAATAGGTCTTCGCCAACACATGCTTGCCGTACAAGGCGACTAACGGGATCGGATGGGCAGGCTCACTGACCTGTTTGATGCATGTCATCGTATCCCAATTGCGTGGATTGATGCTTATGATGTCAATCACAGGATTTTCGGGTCCAGACTCGATTATGTACAGACCGCCTTCATATAGCTGGAATAGTGCTGAGTGCGGTGTTAAACAACAAACAAACACGATATTGTAACATAGCCACTGATGTTTTCACACCAAAACAATATCAATTAAGTATGGAGCGGCAGAGTTCCTACGCCAATTCCAGGTGGCTGTGTCTTATATATCCTAGAAGAATCCAGTACTTCATAGGTTCAGTAGCGAGAAAACCTTCCACGTGTCTGGATGACGACCTACACCCTGCATCTCATCTCTCCAGCCAGATGTTGGATCTGTTGAAGGGGTAACTGCAGCCGCTTCTGCTGAAAATCATCTGACTATAAAAGTCCAGTTTCCACCCTTTCCGAACTAGGCTGGTATTATGGAGTTACATTTTGGCTGGACTAACGAGTCTATGCATAGTCCAACCAAATTCGCGCTACAAAATCGAAATCCAGTTCGCAAAATGTCGTGCAGATTTTGGTCGATTGCAGGATTTGCAAAACATGTGCACCGCCAACTCGTTGACAACAGATATTTTTCAAATCTTTTCATGTTTTCAATCAAGGTGATCACGTGATTTGATACATTTCGGGATGTAAAACCCTTTTTATCACAACAGAGATCTTGATTATCGATCAGATGGTCCTGACTGGCCGCCGCCATTTTGTTTAAAGCAAATGCAAGTGATATGAGAGGTGGAATCTGATTGGTCCATAGGTGAGGCTTAGAAGGGACATAACTGGTAATAGCCACTGGTGGCCCTACGATCGAGCCTAGGAATTTAAGACTAGTTCGGCAAGGGTGGAAACTGGACTTTTGTAGTCAGTATTTGGCTCGGGAAGATGGCTGAAAATCTGCTTACAGTTCAGCCCGTAAAGATCATTGTGTTAGAATTGATCTTCAACAACCCATGCTTGTAAGAAGCGACTATTCAACGGGATCGGGTGGTCAAGCTTGGTGACTTGATTGATGCATGTCATCGTATCCCAACTGCGTTGATCGATGCTCATGATGTCTAGCTGGAATATTGCTGAGTGCGGCGTTAAACAACAAACAACCAACCAACCGACCTTTTCACTCCAACTATTTCTAAATGAAGAATATCTCTGTAAAAGTAAAACGGTAAACCGAATACAATGCATATACTCATGGATATATATGACGGCGATTGGGATTTTATCGGAAAAAATAAATTGTCCCCGAAAAGTCTGGAAAAAAATAAATATGCTTTACATTGTTTCGTGCCATTTTGACGCGGTGTAGTATCCTTTTAGTCTCTAATTGTAGATGATTTAATAGTTTATAGTTTAGTTTATTTCCACATAGGCCAAACGCCAAATACAATTCCACACATAAAAAAACAAGATTAATCGCATGTACATACAGACACGGCAATGTTCCCCCATCCCCTGCACACTCGACTCTTGCGGCAAAAGTAGATAATATATATATCACCTATTGTTCATGACAAAATATAATTAAAATTATCTCTAACTAAAGATATGAAATACATATTTGGATAAATTATAAACAGTTTCAGGGCGATACATAATCAGGTAGATATCGTTTTCTAAGAAAATGATACTTAGGACAGACCATAACCATATGATATTCGTCTTCTATATTGTTCATACAGAACGGACAAGTACTACTTCCCAGTTGCACTTTTGGATTAACCCATCTACCCTTTTCAATCATTAGGGGCGGTCGGGTAGCCTAGTGGTTAAAGCGTTCGCTCGTCACGTCGAAGACCCGGCTTCGATTCCCGACGTGGGTACAAAGTGTGAAGCCCATTTCTGGTGTCCCCCGCCGTGATATTGCTGGAATATTGCTAAAAACGGCGTAAAACCATACTCAATCACTCAGTTTCAATCAGTAGATGATGAGAACCCAGTTTAAAGCGAGTAAGACCTATTCTATATTTAGTAACTTCAATTAACGTTAAATATTTTTTTCTATTAGAAGAAACTGCTTGATATGCAAATAAAGTCTTGTTTCGCTTAATGACATCAACTGGTTACACCACACCTGAGAATGAATGGCATTAATTATTTGCCTGAATTCAATCAGGCAACCTGTTTTATTTATTATTCTCTGTGACAGCCACATGAAACCAAAGCCATATTGGAACAAAATATCAAAGTGACCCAAGTCTTGCATTCGGGTTTATGTTTGGCTTTTTCTAACAAAGTCTTGTATATTAGGTTATGTTCCTTCCTACACTACAGGGGCGATCGGGTAGCCTAGTGGTTAAAGCGTTCGCTCGTCACGCTGAAGACCCGGATTCGACTCCCGACATGGGTACAATGTGTGAAGCCCATTTCTGGTATCCCCGGCCGTGATATTGCTGGAATATTGCTAAAAGCGGCGTAAAACCATACTCACTCTTCGGAATGTGGGTGAAACAGACGGATGTCCCAAATTGTTCCATGACCTATAATCTTACTGTGGTTGATCGGTGCCATTTGCACCTCATCAACCAATGATACCCACATCCGGTTAACATGGCGGGACATCCAATGGCCAATCAGAGCTCGGCATGCACCTGAGGCTCCTTGTGCTCATCTGGTCTTCACCAGTCGTCGGGTCTCAAGCTTTTTATTTCTTGGAATATTGGAGATGACATTTCTTACTAATGTCACTTAATACGTTTGGCTGTCCTTAGATATTCTGGAATCAAGCTGTAGGCGTGGATCTAATCTCATTAAGAAAATGAAATTTCTTATTCATTACTAAAATGATTTTGAGGGAACAAGATCTAATACCTGGATTTGGTCGAGATTATCTTCACCTGCTAAACCTGTTGATTCAAGAAGAAACCATTCCTTAATTGAGTAATGTTTGTATATAGATGGTACGCTGCATCAAGTATTCTTTTCTGCCCTATATCAAGTTGTCGATGTAACGGTGAAAACATTGGACATAGGACAGAGGCCTGGGGAACTCAACAGGACGGAATAGTCATGTCCATAACTGTACTTGTAATGGCGAATGTATGAGTACGCTTCCATCGAGTGCATACTTGAAGCAACCCAAAACTGTTCCAGGCGGGCGTTTGTGACGAAATGATTATGTCTGTCACAAGACTCGGGAAAGAGCAATTCTTGAAAATGAATTGAATCCAGCCGACTAATGGTACAGTAAGGAAACTGAGATAACTGTATAATGGATAAAAA